AAGACATGGCAAAGAGTGGTGACAAGAGAGATGTGATAACCTTTGAAAGCATTCAAGTGTTGTCTGCAAATGAATCCCAATTCATAAAACCCCACAGAATTCACTACAAACTGGTATTAATATCATGTCATTTGTATCAAACATTTCTAATACCCGATCATCTCCCTGTCCACTGTTGGCCCCACACTGTCCAGTAGTATATACAGTATAGAACTGTTAACTGAACTTGGTCATTTATTTATTTCAATGTATACATTAGCTGATAAAAGCCGGTATTTCGTAAATAATTATCGTTTGTATCCATAATTAGAGTCAAATATTAGACAAACTTCTTAGTCAATGCTTACCACATAATGATTGTCCATATAATCACATCCGACAAGTCATTGATTGTTAATAAGATTCAGTTATAATTGATATTCAACTCATACTTTTGTTACACATTTTGTAATCACATAACACTTATGAATGAATTGAAATATGATTTAATGACAGAATGGAAAGCCTCTCATTTGGGATGCCATCAAAATACACGACAGGTTTGGCCACCAATTAATAGACATTATAATTATGCGACAATTAATGGCATTTACATACTGTCTGTATATCCAGTGTTGCGGTCGTTGTCTATAACAGGACATCGAAGAGACTGTTATTCGTGCGTCAGTTCCGTCCGGCCGTCTTCTTCTCCTATCTCTGCAAAAGTGTCGATACAATCGATTTGAACGTCTTCTCCAAAGACAACATCCATAATGTGAACAAACAATTGGTCGACAATCCAAACCTGGGATACACTATCGAACTCTGCGCCGGTATTCTCGATAAACAAGGTATGACTGCTTAACACTACTGTCCACTTGTTTACCATTAAATCTTAATCGACAGGAAAGTCACCACAAGAAGTGGCCAAAGAGGAGATTGAAGAGGAAATTGGATATAAAGTAGAGTTGAAGTAAATTCCACATAAAATATTCAATTACTCTAAACACTAATGTATTGAAAATGTGTTTTGTCTTAAAGTACAGTCAAATTCATATCGTCGTACCGGAGCGGAGTCGGACACTCGGGTTCTCTGCAGTACTTATACTACTGTTAAATATTCAATTACTCTAAACACTAATGTATTGAAAATGTGTTTTGTCTTAAAGTACAGTCAAATTCATATCGTCGTACCGGAGCGGAGTCGGACACTCGGGTTCTCTGCAGTACTTATACTACTGTGAAATCACGTAAATATGAGTTCAAGTGTTAGCCAAATAAAGCAAATTAATTAACTATTTGTTATAATCTGTATAAAAGGGACGAAACGCCTAAAGGAAAGGGCGGCGGAATTGAAGACGAGTCCATTGAAGTGATTGAGTGAGTGATTCGTGGGATTGTCTAACCATTTGACAAACAAATGAATACATAAATCCTTTTGCAGACTGAGTATAGAAGAGGCGAAGAAGTTGTTGTATTGCGAGGACTTGGAGGCGAAGCTGTCGCGACCGACGGCTATGTTGTTCGCCTTGTGCTGGTTCTTCTACGAGCGTTTACCACAACTATGAGTGCACTTCAATCGCATCTATAGTCTTGTATTGCAATTAAATTTGTTTAAATAAAAGTTTTATTATTTTTTCCTACTTTTAAATAACGATTTCACAGTTAGGGTTCACGTCATTGAATAGAATCACTAATAAGTCGATGAATGGGTATTTCGCGGCTTTAGTTCCCGTAATAATCAGTTTCCTCAAAGATCTGATCCGATGCAATGTCTCGACTCCGCGATGAGTTATCAGCGGATTGTCAGATAAGTCCAGAACTGTCAGAGTTTTGGAGTTTCTGAAAAGTCGGGCCATTTTGTCGCACACGAAGTCATCGATTAGTTTATTCTTCGAGAGATTTAATTCTTGCAGTGAGTCTAAGAGACAAAAGTTGTCGAACGCCTCGTATCTCAGCTTTACATCTATTGTGACAAAAGTATATCAATTATTAATGTCGAGAATGTGTTGATCACTCACTGGAAGCGTCCACTACTGTCACCCGATATCTTGCATCATATATATTAGGCATTTGTTCGCATTTTGTGATCCATTTGTTGGGTTCATCTTAAGACCAAACAACTCATTAGAACCGCTATATTATCACAACATTTAATGAAT